TTTTTTTAAATTAATTTATTTTTTTTTTTGGGGGGGGGGGGGGGGGGGAGTTGATATATTTCTTTGGGCTTTCACACTGAAATTTGAAACGTATCATGCAAATCATCGGTCCTGTATTACATGTAGCCTTTCAACCGGATAAGATGCCCAATATTTATATTGCTGTGATAGTGAAATGTTAAGATATTGTTGGTCAAAGAATCAATGTAACTTGTGAATTACGATAATTATTAAAAAATAACTAAGCAAAATGAGAGGAGTGAAGGTAATTGACACATGATGAACTCCACTAAGAGTTCTAGTCGATGGAGCAACTAAAACGTTGGGAAAGCCAATAGATGTCACAATTGCAAAATTTATACACTTCCAATTTATATTTGTTCAAATATGCAAATAAATAGTGAATATAATCCAAGTTATAAATGTTTTTAAGTTTCGTAAAAGTCCCAACTCTAATGTGATCCCATGCTTTGTTAGCCCATATCATGCACAAGAGCATCCATATGTTTAAAGAATTAATTCCTAGATTAATAACTCAATAACTCCAACGTTCCAATTTTTGAATAAATTGGGAGTTCTATATTACCATTTTTTCCTTTATAGTTTTTATTTTTTATAATAGCGTTTCCAAAATTTCAAGCTTTTTGTTGTACACATGGCAGTTAACGTCATAAATTCTGCACGTAAACAGAGACTAAATTCAAATTTTAATCTAAGTCAAAATCAATAATTAATTTTAACCACATATTTCATGAAACCCACAACTTTTTAACCACACTTCAACAACTTCTGTCATAATTTACTAAATTTTATATTTTAATCTACACCAAACAAGAAATAAATAGAAACAAAAAGCAAAGCATTGACACCCCAGTAAAAGTTGCAAAATTAACAATGTTTTTTCAATTATAGCGTTATTGTTCTTATTTACCTAAATGAACAAGGGAGTCGAAAAGAATAAGAAAAAGTTGAAATAATGAGTTCAAAAATATTTCAAAAACCCAAATTCATCCAAACTAGTAGCCAAGTAGTTCATGCCATACAGTTAAAGCCTATTTGACATGACTTTAACTTTTGTTTTTATTTCCCGTTGAAAAGCTTTTGAAAGAAGCTCTCTTAATTTTTGTCTAAAAACTAATTTTAAAAGCCTTTTTTATTTCAAAAGTTCATTTTAGAGAAAATCACATTGAATCAACTTCCTCTAGAAAGAGCTCTTTTAAATAACAAAAGCACTTTCACAAAATTAGCCAAACACGTCCGAATGCCACTTTTGGGTCTCTAAAGCTGCTTTTAAATTTTCAAAATCCATGCTGAACTGCCCTTACTAATATTAGAAAACACACATGGAAAATAATTCCCCTTGCAGTCAATCATGATATCATAAAATAGTCTCAAGCTTCCATTCAAGGATCACTACATGGATAATAGAATAAAAAATTTACAGTTTTATGCTTCTGTACTTGACAAACTGAAAATCTGCAGCCTACAGTTAACTCTCAATTCCTAGTGAACAAAAGTTTCGCCAGTTAATAAACAATAACGATAAATTACTGTGTTCTTAATTCTTACCACGGGGATGGGGCCACAACACTACAGGGTAGCAGGGACGGTACAAATTTAGACGAAGAGAAGGGTTTAGCAGAAGCTCATAGGATACACGGATCTTCATGTTGCATCTATCTAGATAGTTAGGCCTTCACGTCTTGGCCAGAAGGCTGTTTTTCATCCTTCTCAGCACTACCTTCCTCATCTTCTTCTTCATCTTGTCCGTCAGCCAGTTTTGTAAGCTCGTCCTGAATCATGAGCTTTATAGATGATTTTCTGGGTGTCAGGTCTGTACTATATCGCTTGGCTGAAATGATAAAGAGGTTATCGTCATGCAAAAATAAGACACGAAATTGAATTTTAACTATAGACTAAATTATTACACACAAGGACTTCAAATGTCATCTTCTATTTCCCCAGAAATAGAATAAATTGGAAATAGCACATGAATCCCCCAAGAATTTCTCAGGGCTCTTAAGATAAACCATTCAGGGAATTAAATTTCACAAACTTGTTGAATCAGTAATATTATTTCAAGGGTGAATTCAAACAATCTAACAATTTCTTTCTGCACCAACCTCCATTTCAATACCAAAGAAGAGGAGAACGACTCAAAAGATAGGTTAAATAGGGAGGAGTGCGGTGGAGGATTAAAAGAATTCCAAGTAATTGTTATGTTTTGGCTCATGTTTACAAACACCTGAAACAATTTTTATTCACACATTCTGTGGGATCCAAAAATACTATCCACTTATCCACCACTTATTTGTATCTACTTATAATTTAAACATACTTTCCAAACATGCTTTATTATAGTTATTGAGAAAAATTAAACAAAAGCAGCAGTATATATTTAAAATATATTCCAACAATGGTAGAATGATATATATAACTATAATTGTATGGTAAAAGCAAAAGAAGCTAAAGTATGCTCTCAAGTGAAATTAACATGTATCCTTTCCATAGTAATATTATCAAACCAATTGCACCTCCAGAGTGGCTGGTTCACTAGGTTTTGCTGATAATTATAGTTCAAGACTTAAAAGGTCACAAAGAAACTTTCATGCAAGCTTACCGAGTATCTTCAGAATGTCAGTGAAGGTAGCCTGCGAAATTCAAAGCGGATGTATCAGGGTAAGATATACCAAAATGTTAAAGACACCATAACTGCCAACAGAAGAAAGGATAACATATTACTGATGAAATGCAAGCAATTTTGATCATTGATTTCACCACTTTAAACTCTGTACTAATGGTAAACCTCACATTAGGCAAGACTCAAGATTACACGTCCAGATTTCCATTTTACAACTAATAATCAATCACATTAAAGAAAAACATTTTTGCTTAGTGGGAAAAAACATGCATCTTCTGTTCCCACACATAAATAGAAAACCGAGAAGGGTGTATTTAAATCAAAACCTATTTGGATAAAAAGCTAGAGAACTTCTGAAACATACTGTATTGAAGTCAACATCTTTAAGGATTTCACAAATGGCATTTCTGAGTTCATCATTGCTTGGCTTTGATTTGTCTTCCTTAGGCTTGTCTTTTCGCACAATCTTCTTCCCTTTATTTGAACAGAAACAAAACAAGAAAGGTTCTTAAACAAAGTCATAGCTCAACACTACAAAATTAGCTTGGAAAACTTAGATTAAGGGATGGTGTATTGGATTATATTGCAAATGATAAATAACAGTAGTACCAACTACCAAATCTAAAGTTTCTTTACAAGCAGACAATCATCAAATGGGAACAAACCACTATTCTCACCAGTACTCTCCTTTGACGATTTGTTCTTCGGACGAGCTTTCTCCTTTACCGCTTCATCTTTCTTCTTCCCAGAAGACTTCTTTGCACTCGTATCATTATTGTACTTTGTGCGACTTGATGATGATTTTGCAGGTGGCTTTTTAGAGGTTGTTACATTCTTGGTCCTGGTTTTTCCAGCAGATACTTTCTTTGCTGAAGGTGGCTTCTGCTTTTCTTTCTCTTCACCAGGCTCGTCCTCAGATTCACTAGGGTTCCCCAGACTTTTAGCTTGATCAGACATCTCATCATCCGATCTTTCAGGTTTACCATTAACATTTTCCTCTTCGTGTGCTTCCTCTTTCTCGTCTTCTGCTTCTCCAGAATCATCTTCTGATTCAGGCACACTATTTTTCTCCCCAGATTTTTTAGATGCACTCTCAGTTCTCTTTCGACTCTGAAAAAAAACACCAGCGACAAAGATTGCCACCAAAGAAGATGGTTAACAAGTTCATGTGTATGAATCACATATCTTCTATAATTTTCAGTATTTTAATTTCTTATCTCCAATCAAATTTCAGCAGCTGATCATCCACTATGAAGGAATCAAGCTCAGCTGCAAGCATGCATTTTACCTTCGATTTCTTTTATATATACATTCATCAATTTATCTGATAAAGATATTAATATTGAGCATTCACATCTATAGAAAACAAAACCTAATTGAGCAAATCTTGAAGTTAAACCAAGGCAACTAGTGACAGATTCTTTAAAAATAAATAAATAAATAATAATAATAATAAGATATGTTTCATCTCTATGCATATAATATATTATCCATAACATCATCCTTTAATATGTGTACCATAAACTAATAAGGCGGGATAAAGAAAAAATAAGTACCATTTGGCTACATCTCTCGTCTTCTACTTTTATTTTCAATTTTTCCTTTTTTCTGTAAAGAGTAGGCTCAGAACCCCATGAAGACACTAGTTCTCTATTTGTGATAATGCATAAGAAAAATATTCAGATACTGCATTCCTGGAGCACCTAAGCCAGTATAACATGTAGTGGGATAAAGAAAAAATAAGTACCATTTGGCTACATCTCTCGTCTTCTACTTTTATTTTCAATTTTTCCTTTTCTGTAAAGAGTAGGCTCAGAACCCCATGAAGACACTAGTTCTCTATTTGTGATAATGCATAAGAAAAATATTCAGATACTGCATTCCTGGAGCACCTAAGCCAGTATAACATGTAGAGCATGATTTGAGCCTATGGTCACAAAAAAGAAGAAACCACCAAACGGAATGTTAATGAGAAAGTTCACTCGAACTACATAGTACATACAGCAGACTCCATATGTTCCAGGTTGAATGTCTTGGATTGAATTTGATGGTCGACCAGACATTTTTATCGCGATTTCTTATTAATTTATTTTAGACATCTAATAGCACAATAAATTGAATAGAACTATATGGTGAACAATCCCTGCACTTCAAGTTGAATGTCCTGAATTGACTTTCGATGTATCCAATCACTTTTTGTCCACTATATCTGATTAATTTATTTAGTTCTAGACTAGGTCGATGGAAATTGCATGTTATAATGCATAAATTCCAACCTTGCATCAACCCAAGCAATGTGATAGACTACAATTAATCTCCACATCCATGTGCACACGGACATGGGAAATATAAAGGACCTAGGTGATACTAGAAATGTTTGTTCGTTTGTTAGTGGTTCTTTTTTTTTTTTTTTTTTTTTTAATTGATTGAACTATGTGGATTATTTCACAATGATTGAACTGACAACAGCTCAGCTTCAATTCTAGAAAACTGCTTTCCAAATCAATGAGGGTGATACCTTGGCCGATCCTTTTGAAGGTGCACTGCTCCCAGATGCTGATTTGCTAACCCTCTTTCTTTTTTGCCCATTACTTGACTGGCCAATACGCATGATATATGAATAAATAAAAAGGCATGACTTCTCATCATAGATAAATTAAATAGAATGATAAGGTAGGACCCAAGTGTAAAACCTGTTCTTTTTCTGCAAGCAACTCATTGGTTGTTGCATGAGGAGACAGCAAAAAGTCTATCAGCTTTGCAATAATATCTTCCTGAAAGCACCATAAATGGAAAATTGAAATCCTTGAGACTAAGCAATTCAGGAGAGATGTAAGATGTCATTCATAATCTTAGTGGCAGGGTTAGCCAAGGCAACCATGACGAATTATATAGAACATAAAAGCACATCACATAACAAGAATATTCTTAGATCAAGAAATGTGCAAGCAATATGCTGAATGGTAATGGAGAATTTTCTAGCAAACTCTGAAGTAAAGAGATATCGACAAACCTTTCTTGTATTAGCCTTGGAAATCGGTATATCAAGAACATCACAGAATTCTACTAGCTTCTCTTTGACAAACTTGTCAAGTTTTTCTTTCAATTTCATCATTTGCTTTTCCTGAAACCGTGTATTTGAAGTAGTGAGAGTCATAAATTATTCTGGAAGATTCAACAAATAGAACATGCACAGCAATCATCAACTTAATAAGGACTTTCATCTTCACCTCGTTATCATGCCACACGAACCCAGAGAACCTTGATATGTTGCTCTTGATTTGAGCTGCCTGCATAAATTAATAGAAGTATAAGCACAAGCAAAAAAACTAAAGTTTTTCAACAAATGAGTAAACGTGGAGCCAAGTATAGCAACAAATTTCATGGCTACAAGAGAAAAACATATAATGAACAGAAAATTAACTACAAGAAATAATATAAGGAAAACTTGAAGGAAACAGTGACAGATCAATGACAATTTAATTAACAGCAGGCAAGCACAGTATCAGGCAAGCTCTGAGTTACAAAACTCACTTGGACATTGACATCTACCAAAAATGATAACAATAATTGAAAAACATAAAATGGTTCAAGAATTCAACATCCATTAGCTCTGGGTGAGAGCAACCCTAAAAATATGTTAAAAATAATACCATCAAGTTCAAAATATAATCTTAAGAAAAAATTTACTTTTGTAAAAATAAATTTCAAAGCTTCAATACACAAAAAGTTCAAGATGAATATATCAAGTACACAAATAGAACCAGCTATTATCCCAAGAGGATCCGAGTATTCAATAGACATTAAACTGAATATAATGCCTGGTCCTCCTTGAGAGAAATATGGAAGGAGGGAAGGCAGAAAACAAAAGACAAGAACTCAAAGTGCTATACCTTTCCTCTCCTTCCAAAGAGAACTGCATGCAGCAATTTGAAAGTTTCCTCGGTCTTCTTTCTTGACAACTTGTATGCCACTGCAACAAAGATTTGGTTTACAGACATTTCAATACATCTCTAAAGTTGCATACTTGAACATCCATGTAAACAGATAAAACAAAATGAGATTCTTTTCAGAATTCTTCGTGAAGTTACATAACATACGTTATGAATGAAATTGAAATACATGAATATGACATAACAAACTCAGTAATTAAATTGTGATAGCAAAATGATTAGGAGAAGACCTGCATTTAATAAACATTATATGAGGAGCAAATGCACAACCTCCCACCCATGTTCTCGCTAATATGACCACAAGATTGTAAAATCCATGACTAGCCTAGAATTGTAAAATTAGCAAATAAATTATCCAATTTCATTTTAGCTTTTGGGAAGATATATCTGTGTGTGTGTATACAAATTCAATGAAGCCAAGCATCATTCCCCTCTCCAAGGGAAAGAATGTGAAGTGGTAAAACTTCCTTGAGTTTGGCTTGAAAGAGTCAATTTAGTGTGAAACATGGAGAGTAATTCCCCTAAGGCCAAATGCCAACTCGAGCCCATTGGCTTCTATACATGTATATGACAACTAATGGAACTCAATATTTGTCCAAATTTTATCTGTATAAATATTCATGAATTCTGGTCAGTGCCTATTGTTAACTTTGCCTACCAACTCTGCCAAATTTAAAAAACCAGGATGTGTGGTGAGTAGCCAAAGCTAAAAGAAGAAATCTCAAATGGCCTAAAACAAATAGTTCTCCAATGACATTTCTAACATTTCACTCGTTCACTTCTTCCGGTAAATGCAGATGAAGACTGTTCCAACATTAAAAACACCTCAGAAGTCAAATAAAATCTAGCAACTAAGAATGAACATTGATCAGGACTTGACAATTTTATGAACAGAGAAATCTATGATCATTCATGGGCCAATCAACCTAGTATGAGGTAACCGTATAAAGTTGAGACAAAGCGAAATAAAATGGAAGGAACAGAGTTACTGCCTTCCCACAAAGACTTTGAAGAGTTAGTGAATTTCAGTTGAATAAGGCTTTCATGCTAATAGATGCAAGGCCATATTACATGACTCTTAACTTCTCTCTGCAGCACGGATTTCATAAAGTCGGTAGATCACTGATCAAGTGAGATAAATGTGCATAGAGAAAGAAAACAAGGAATTGGTGATAAATCACTCCAACCAGGCACGTTTCGTGCATTAAAGAATACTCACTTCAGAAAACCAAGAAATACCACACCACACAAGAGATGGAAGGATAAAATAAATTCAACATGACCAATTGAGATTATTTCAACGTACTTCTATTGGAGAAAGTTATTTATACATAATAACATAAGCAAATCCATCACATGATTAAACAGGTATTCAAGGAAAAATAGATTATGTCAATAGTGAAGTAACATCATTGTGCTTCTCAAGATACCTAAAATGATAACCTTATAGCTCTCGTCAATTTTTATTTTCCCCCATAAACGATCTAGTATAGTGCCAAACTTCACTAATCATATAGGTCAATTAAGAGAGTTACTGAGTATTGAGATAAAGCATCACACAATCTTATCAAAGCATCCCATTCTGAAATTCGCAATACAAAAGGCCTAAAGTTGATGTGCTATGTGCATAAAGTGGAGTTCAGTCAAAATGAGTACCATTAGGAATATCTTTCAATGCAGTTCCACGACCCTGCAAAACAAATACTATTATGTCAAAGTAAATCTCCTTTTAAAAGGTATTTAACTCACACCATGCTGACAGTAAAACTTAACCCCTCTAAAGATTGAAACAAAAAATTGGAAATTAAAAGGTCACACCTTTTCAATTTGGAATTCCTTAGAATCATCCTTCTCAATAATTGCAACCAGCCTTTCTACAGATTTCCTTTCACGCACAGGGCGTTCAATTGTGGAACCCACGGGAGTTTTTGACTCCCCCTTTTTCTCTGTTGGAGTTTTAGGCTCAGACTTTTTTCCCGTTGGGGTTTTTCGGTCCTCTTCAACTTCCTTTTTCTTACCTTTGCCAATTTTTCCAGCACTACTCTTTGTTCGTGGGCGCTTCTTTGAACTTTTCTCCTCCGTATGCTCTTCTGCCTTATCCTTAGTCTCATCCTTACCCTCTGTATGCTCTTCTGTCTTATCCTCAGTCTTCTCCTTACCCTCTGTATGCTCTTCTGCCTTATCCTCAGTCTCCTCCATATCCTCTGCATTCTCTTCAGCATTATCCTCAGTCTCCTCTTTCATTCCATCAACCTCCCTTTCAGATTTATTTTCACTCTCCTCCTTGGCTTTCTCCCCAGAATCATCTTCAGTTTCCTGACTATTGTTTTTTTTCTTTCCTCCAATGATTCCTTCCCTTTCTTCTTCTTTTCCCTCTTCTACTACCTTATTATCCTCCATGTTTGCATCAGCTTCCCTAGCTTCTTTGACCTCTTCTTTATCCACATCCATATTCTCAGCCTTAGGTTTACCACCATCCATATCATCTCCAAGTCTTGTTTCTTGATCTTTTGCCTCTGTCACAGCCTCCATCTTTTTCTCCATCAACTCTAACTCGGCATTCCCATTTGCTACTGACTCAGGTTTCTCAAGCACCAGATCTCCCTCACCCATAACAGCTAAATTCAAAGTTTTCGGAAGTTCTTCAACAACTTTCGTTGCTGACCCAAACAACTGCTAAAAGTATTATAGGAAAGCTCTTCCATCAGAGATATCAATCCAGTAACATAAAAAGGTGAAAAACAAAAAATTTAAAAGAAACAAGTGTTAGAAGCATTGCCAAAAAAAAATTTCAAACAAATAGTGGATGAATCTCCGGAAATTAATAATATCAGAAAAAGTCTCAGCACACAGCTGAAAGAAAATAAAAATAAAAATCTCTTAAGCTATTTCCAAGTGTTTGCATGCAAACACAGTGCACATGTATAATAAAATATATGCTCCCACATAAGGAATTCTAAGAGTCCTAACAAGTTCTACGGTATCAAACCACGTTTCAATTTCTCAAAAGGCTCATCGACTTCAAGCTCACTAAAACAGACGGGAAAAATTACAAATTAAGCAGAAAAGTTATCAATCAAACGCAATCTCGAAAACTTCTACAAAACCCTAGACTGAAGATCTATATTTTATTTTAAAAATCGCACGACGAACAATTAAACGCCCAATTAAAGCTTCACATATTGGAAATTCAAACAAAAAATTAAGCAAGAAACAAGAAACTTACTAAGATTTGAGAGCAAAATTTCGCGATCCCTTGAGCTCTTTCGGAGCTCACTGTCTCACTGACACTGATGTAATAGCTTCACTGTATTTCCCGTTTTGACGTTTTTCTGGGTGTGGATTTTATACTGCGGACTTCAAATCCAGACTTTAAATCCAGTTAAATGCCATCATGTCGGGTGGCAGAACCAGACCAGCCAGGTGGAATTCTAATGTGGGAGCTGATTGAACGGGTCAGATCGAAAAGCCATCTTAAGTGGACGATTGAGATTGTACTACGTTGAATGTACTTTGTAGCGGGTTCTGTTACCGTTGCCTGAAAATAGTTTGGAAAAAAATCACATTTACCCACTATTATTATAATCAAAATAGGACATTACAAATTACTGCATCTTCATCCAATAATGTTATTTGTACAAAATTAGTTGACAAAGTTGATTTACAAACAACATTTACACCAATTATTTCAAAATTACTTTTTTAAATGTTTTGAAATCAAAGGTCGAAATTCTGCCAACACTTGTTTCGTCAACCATTTTTGTTAACTTATTTTGTACGACTAGATTAATTGGTCTTCATCTCTCTTCCATCGTTTTGTAATTGAAAATTATATTAGCTCACATTAGACCTATCGTTAGTTGTGTCTTCATAAGAAAAGCTATTGAAAAATCAAATGGGATTTGAACGTAGCAACTCTGGAAGAGGGATAATGTATCTCATTCATCCACGATATAGAGATACATCAATTCCTTTTCCATTGTTTAGTATTCTGTATCGTTCTTGTTAATGGATTCATGGATATTGTTCCTCTTTTAATATTCTTTACAAATCAAAGTAATTTTACATCATTTGAATTAATATACTATTTTGGATTTTGCTACAGGTACTCGGACCTTTACACTCTGGGTTACCCGCCCCTCACATGGGGGTCGGGTCCACGTTGCGTGGGACCTGGCCCCCATGTGAGGGGCGGTTAAACTCCGGGTACAAATGACAAAATCCTACCATTTTTGGTGTACTTGAATTCATAATGGTGATTGATTGGATATTTAAAAAAAGAAAAAAGAAAATTAATAGAAATGTCAAATTTCATATATCCATTTACAAAAATGTCCACCATAGCAAATCCTTGCAAAAATATTCATTCTGGAATAATTTAGATCAAAATGCCCTTGTTAACAATTTATGATTCCACACAAAAACAAAAATTGACATTTTTGCAATTAAAAATTTTATTGACCAATAAATTTTTGACACATAACCTCCCTTATTTTTTTCAAAAGTGCACACTTCAAATCACAATAAATTCTATTTTTCTCATTGACACATAAATGTCAAGAACTACATTTCAAATATAAAGAAATGTAATGTTCGGAATGAAATGTCATTTTAGACATCTAATATGTCGAGAACAACATTTGAAATGTCGATAATATTTAATATTGTGATTTGACATGTGTATTTTTGAAATATAAATGTGGTTCAAATATTGAGAACGACATTTAAAATGTTGAGAATATCATTTTAATTTAACTTTTTATGGAAGTTACTTCTCAAAATTCGCGACAAATTTGGAAAAAAATTAATTGCTTCATTTTTTTATTAAGGCATAATAGATAATTTAGTACTAAATTGAAAAAAGTGGACATTTTTGAATTGACACCTATGAAATTGGATATTTTTGAAAATACCTCTTAAAAAATCACCGTTTTCTTTATACATAGAATATGATTAATGATTCTCAATTTTGAAAATATCCAAATATTACGCCTTTCCTTAAAATTTCTTTATTTGGATTGTTCTCTCCTCTCATCAGAGTATTTTACCGTTCTTCTTTACGGATTCCTTATATAATAATTTTGGTGGAACATGCAAATTGGTTAATACTTCCTTTTCTTTTTTTTGGTGGGGGGGGGGGGGGGGGGAAGGTGAAGCATCTTGCATTTTTCTAAAGCCTTACTTACATGAAATTCGCAATGCTACTATCTTTTTGTTGTATGTTTCACTTTGCATTACTTGAGTTTTTATGTTGTAGACACAAAGAAGGATTGGAAGATCTCTAATTCCGATATGAATGGAGAAGATATATCATGTTCTAGTGCCTACACTGTGTGTCCTAGACCTATACATTAACATGCTTTTGTTTATTAGGAATTAAAATTTAAGTTTTAATCTAAATCAAAGTTAGTAATTATTCTAACAACATATTTTGTAGGTACCACAACTTTTTGATTACATATTTTATCAACTTATATCAAAATATACTAAAAAACTGAATTTAATCCCTACCAAACAGGAGATTAGAATATGAAAATTTGCCTGATCCCCAAATTTATCCAAATGGATGAATAAGATGAAGCCTCTCCATGATATGTAGAAATATTAAACTGGTTTTGCTTTTGTCTAATATATATAACATAATATGTGACAAATTTACTCCATTGAGGCTCGTGATCAATGTCTCATAAGCACTGCACAAATTCCAGTGGGGAAAATTCATATGGATTTCGTTATTCCTTAGTTCTCGTTACCTTTAAAGTACGTGGCTTTCTCACGTTGCTTTGCATAGAAGTTAGTGCTACAGGGGTTGCAACTAGGTAAAACTTGTGAGATTTTGCAAAATCTCCATGCTCTTGGCTTTATTTAGGTTCATCTTTGCATTTGTAAAACAATTTTTTTTTTTTTTTTAGTTTTAATTTGTATTGGCTATTCTTTAGACTAAAGGATTATTATAAAAGAGTTGTCAAAGTCAATGAGTCTTTTGAGATGTTAAGTAGATGAACTATGAGTCTTTAGGTTCAAGTAACGAACATGGAGAATGAGTCGTTGGAATTATGCTAGTCTGTCGCTAGCTTGGCGCAAGCCCAGTACTTAAGCGATGGTGTTTTTCGAGAAACCTAATTCACGATTTTCAAAAGTTCTATCTATCCTATACTACTATAAATACATAAGCCTCATTTCGTTAAAACAATGGTTGATCATTAAATTCTACCTCCATAACATCCTTTAGAGATCAAATAATAATTCAACGTCTTGTGATCAATCAACCATGATTTGGGAAAAACATCAAACTCATATAATCGAAAATACCCACTTCGAAAATGTAATCAGGAAGGTATTTTCTCAATAGCTTTTAGAGGTTGTTGAAAATTGAGGAATGTTGGACCAGAAGTATAGGAAGAGTACAAGAACAATGTGTGATTGATGATTTACAAGAGATAGAAAATTCTAGAAGATCGAGAACATGTGTGAGTAAAGTACGTTTCAGTTGGTCTTGGAGATTGTAGGAATTAGATCAGTGAGTCTAGTGGATTTTTAGGCTGAATCATTCTGTAAGTTCTTGCTTAAAGCCCTTTCCAGACCTTTTCTTATATTTCTTTCCAGCTTCTTGATGACTTACAAGACGAACATAATGATTTCCTTGATTATTAAGCACTGTCTCCTCTTGTACGAGCATAATGAGCAATTGGTTCACATTCCATTTATCCTTCAAGGTACTATAATTCATATGGAATGGACCATACTCAGGGGGCAAGGAGTTGATGATAATTTGTACTAGAAAGTTATCATCCATGGTCATCCCAAGAGTCTTAAGTCTTGCTGCAATGTTATTCATTTCAGTAATATGCTCATACATGGGATGGGAACCATCAATTTCATGGTGGTTAAGGTACTCGTCAATGTGCTAGCAAGTGACTTGTCAGTTGTTTGGGAATGTTTTTACACAAACTTCATATATTCTTTAGCAATCTCAATTTTATGGATAGCAGACTTGATATTCTTTGCTAAGGTCATCTACTTAAATATTAAGCTTAATTTGTTTAACCTTTTTCCAAGTCTTATGGAAAGACCTTTCATCAACACTGCTCCCATCAACAAGAACACCTCAGTTGAATTAGACTTGCTCATACCAGTCAGAAAAATTGAGCCGATTGAACAATGATACAAATGAAGTATGCGAATGCAGGTAAACGGGAACAGATACTACAAAATATAAAATGCTCTAATATTAATGCTTTGAGTTTTGACTTAAATATTTCAGTTCAGATTCAGATAACCTTAAATGTATGTCGTAGTTCTCCTTTAGGTGATACTACATTATACCATCATAATAAACACAATGATGCTAGCTTAGTTTCACTTAATTGATAATTAAATATACTCCAATTAGACATGTCTGTTATCTTTGGATATACAAAACACATCTAACTAAGTATATCAATTAACTACGATCATGTTCAAGATAATAAAATTAACTAATCAAACTTTGCGCAATACATACAATTTTATAATCTATGAACATCGATATACTCTCAACAATAATAATTCTAATGCCAATTTCATTTATAAGCATTAAACTATCAAGAGTAATTGACAAATAAATTATGTAATTCTTTGTTGTGTTTTAATATCATGGTTGTTGATTTTGGCAGTGATTGGTGGTTTTGTTGGGGTTTTAGGAGTAGTGAAATACGATGGCTAGGTAGTCAATGAAACAGTCATTCCAAGTCTTATAGGAGAATGGATGTGAGGCTGTCTAGAAGACTGTGAAGTAAAATTTAACGAGAAGAATTCTAAAAGAACTTTGTATCATTTTAAAATGACATGAGACTTCTCCCAAATTGCCTCTTCTATGAAGTGCCATTTTTTTGCATACGAGACACATAGTGACGAATAAGACTTGGTGCTACCATAGAAAAGTTGATCATATGTAGAACAAACAATTAGTATTTCGTGACTCTATTTTTTCATTAATTTTCAAATTGTTGAGTCCATCTATTGTAATAATATAAATTGCTGGATACAACAAAATGATATGAAAAAAATGCATCAAAATGATCAAGGGAGACTCAAGATGATGATGGTGGACGTTGATTCTAAAGATGATTCGTTGGTCTAGACTTTGGTTTTTGCCAATCTAATTACAGGAAATCAAGATCAAATTAGAAAATAATTTTGAAGTGAAAGGAATATTTAAAGTATTTAGTATCTAATCTCTAGATATGGAGAACAAATTAAAATAATTATTATTTTAATGTCATAATTAGAATTTGTTGAGTTTTGATACTCAATAAATTCTAGACGATAATTTAGAATAGATGTAGGATAATTTATCAATACCTTAGTGCTTGGCTCAACCCGGAAACAACC